GAGTTGTCTTCGCTGAACCTGAAGAGGAGGTGACAGCGGTTTTCTTCACTCTGACTGTAGAAGCAGTCTTTGTGGAAGATTTCACCTTAGTTGATTTCTCAGCCTTGGCTACTTTCTTGCCCAAAACTGGTGAACCAGTTTTAGCGACAGAAGGACACTTGCTGGCAATATGTGATTTCTCACTACAATGCTTACACTTCCTAAAGACAAGATTTGCTTTAGGGCCAGGAAGTATTAAATTAGAAACGGGACCAGCTCCAAGAATACCCTTCTCATTAGTTCTAGGAGAAACTTTTGAGGAACTGGATTCTTTAGGTGAARAGTTCACCTTGAGCTGTGACTTAGATTTCTGAAGAGATTCAGATTTCCTAGTCCCTGAAGAAGAAGAAGTTTTGCAAGCTGAAGGAATAGACCTAGATCTATTAGACTTGTTTGACTTCTTAGAAAAGAATGCTGTGACAATGGTTTTACCTTTGTCTTTGCACCCAGAACTCAAAGGAGTTCCTTCAAGATGACATACATACATACATGCATACATACATACATACATGCATACATACATACATACATGCATACATACATACATATATATATATATGTATATGTTTATGTTTTATGCGAGAATATATAATATATATATATATATATGCATAAGAATCTTTGTCTTATTCCTACTAGTTGAAGGAATAATCCACGATTATGATATATTGGACCTCAATGGAACCTTAGTAGTTGTTAACCCTATGAAAGATGCGTGATGATTTTAGCAATCTTATCTATGTAATTCGATATTCCTTCACTCTATTTTTGATCACTTTCCAACTTGTATGTCCTTTTTTCTTGGCAAAGTTGTCTTTCTATTTGTTATTGACATATATGTACGTATGTATGATGTATTGACGTCACGTTATAATCATAAAAAAGCTTTAACATCAAGTTGAATAGCTATATATTCCATTTACTTACTCAGTTCCTAATAGAATACGAGTGGGTATTTTAGTATTTACTAATAAAATCAAATTGTGACCATCAAGATGCTTTATAAAAAGTTATTTTTATCTGATGGTTTATAAAAATTACGGATTTTCATTTATCTTTATCAACCTTCAATTGTTCTCATATATCTTCAATCAACTTTACACACACACACATACACACACACACACACACACACACATATATATATATATATATATATATATGATTTCTTAAAGTTTTAGTCATGTAGATATGAGTAGGTACTAGGTACACATAGATAAATGAAGGTTGATGAAAATGTGTAAGTACAAGTGGATGCAGATAGATGAAGTACCGTGTTCTCAAAAATGTCACAAAATACTGTTTTCACTGGATCTCAAACACACACGTAGATGGGTTCATCTGAAAACCCACACCCATTTATGCAAACCTTACAAACCCTTTCTAACCATAGATTTCATTGAAGAATGACCTATACAATTTCCATCTATTTTTGTGAATAAAAAATTCGGATATTAATTGGATTGACACCAGAAGGATAAATTAGTCAAGAAAACTCCTACAAATTCCTAAAATAACTCATAACAAAATCCTAAAGAAGTTTTTCATTATCTAATATGTTTCCAAAAAACAAATCTTAAAATAAAATCAAAAAATTTAGTTAAGAAACACATTACAAAAAGTGAAAAATAGCTCATGATTTTATGGTATTGTTAATAAAAAGAACTCATAATTTCAAGGTACTGTTAATAAAAAAAAAACTCATGATTTTATATATGAAAAAACTCCTGATTTTATGAATAAAAAAACATGACTAATTGAATGAAAAAACTCATGATTTCATAGTTTCATTAATGAAAAAACTCATAATTTCATGGTCTCATGAACACAATCAAACCTTGATTTCATGGTTTCATTAATAAAAAATCACATGAATACTGCAATCTAGAATCCATTGCTGAAGAAGACGGTAATAAAAAAAACAAAATCAACGGTTACCATAAAATTGAATATCAGTATCCCATTGAATCAGACAGTTTAATAACAAGATAATTATCATGATTATATCAAAAACCCGTCCATATGTAAAAAGACAAAACCACCCTAAAAAGGAAAAAAAACATTGAAATAATCTAATTAGTTGAATGAGGGTTGCAAAGTTTATATACATATAAAGTTCTCCATTTGATCCCTCATCTCTCTTTATCTCTATATATATTCCGATTAAGATGACAACACTTATTAAAAACATATAAATTTACAAAGAGTAGTTTGTAACATTTTGGAATCACACTTGAACAACAAATTGGTACCAAATTTCGTAATTGCCTATATGTATAATCAATAAACTAGATGGATTATGGTTTATTTTGAGTCCTTAGCCAAAAATGACGTTTTACTGTAACTAAAAACTAACAGACCGATATAACTGTTTTAAACGAATTCACTATATGTCATTCAAATATAGTGTTTTATAAGGATATATAAAATGTACACAAATGTTAATTAATATCTATATATCACATGAAATGAGCATGATCATGAACCCTAGCTAACTTTTAGTAAGATATAAGAAATTGTAGAATATCAAAATTTTCAAACCGGTACAATTTAATTTCTTTGATGATATAATTACTTTGTTCATCTGTAAACATGTATGCTGAAAGAAGTTACAGTCATATACATATATATGTCTGAGGTTTAACATTGTAATATTCATAAAACAAGTTACTTCTATACTTTAAGGAGATCATTGAGTTACAAAGCGTATAGTTATATATAGGGACATGTTCATTTAAGAATCGTGAGAACTAATTATTTATATATTATTCATTGTTAATATCGTGATAGAATGCATGATAAATATCATGAGTAATGAAAATATACGATAGTAATTATGAGTAATATTTATAAACATTTAGGTATATTCATCATAAATATTAATTAATAGTTGGTTATTACAGTACTCAGAGTATTAAGTATTCCTATACATATAGTCGGATATAAACAACAATAATGACCAAATAAGAAAAAATGAGAATGACCAACATGTGATTTTACCATCACACAGCCTAGTGCGCAACCTAAGTGCCCGCACGCTCTTGCATTGACTATCTTCTGTAGCTACATGTGATTTCAATGCAAAACATATGTGATTTGATCGTTCTTGTATTCTCTTATTTTGATCATGTTCACGATTGATCATCGATCCCTCTATATTTATATATAGGAAAATGTTCAAATGAAAACCATATATACTTTGAAAACACGTGAAAATGATTATATGCATTGATGCATAAAGGCTTCTATAGGGGCAAGATCAAAGGTTCAAAACATGAGAAAGATGAAAAAAAAAGGATTAGAAGTATAAGAATAAGAATGTCAAATAAAAGAAAAAAAAATTCTTGTTTTTTGTATAATTTGTTTGATTTGTTTCAAATTTGGTTATATTTTATCGATTCTCGATTGAAAAATTGCTAACAAGGGATTTAAAAAAATGGTAATCATAACCATTTTTCTAATCACGTTTGTAGGATGATATATCTGATGTTGAGACTTACAATTATCTTCTAAATCTTTTTGTCATTTTCATTTGAAAACCTCTATGTGCTATATATATATAAGAGACTAATCATGTGAGAACCACAAAACGTCACAAACTCATGAGAACCAATATTTATGTGTCGTGCCACGTAATTTTGTTTTTCATCTAAGGTTAGGATTTAAGGTATTGTTTCACATATATAAGTTGTTTAGCAATGCATATCTTTCATATGAAACATGAACTTAAATTTCACAATATGAAACAAGATATGATTCACTATTTTCACGGTTCTCAACTTTTTTAGAAGAGAGAGGGAAAAGATCTAGGGATAAACCCCAAGAAAAAGAATCGAAGAACCCACTTAATTAAACCGTTAGATTAAGATGAATAAAGAGAGTTCAAGAAACAAACTTAAATTCATAACCATTTGGTTTGATAACAATTGGAACAAATAAATTGGTGTATATATATTGTGTATGAGTAGTTCATAATCTAGAGAAAAAGGCTCTTATTGATACTCTTATGACTCCTTCACAACCATATATATAAAGAGAGAAAGAAAGAGAGAGATACATGTATATGTTATATATATATGTCTCAAGATGATGCAAACTTATACATATCAAACTACTATGATCATCTCCTCCATCATCACTACACTCCTTCATATTCATCACTTATCAAATATGCATATCCCAATATCACAATGATCTTGGCTTATTGAACTCAGGAGCCCATTCAGCTTCCCTCCTCCTCCTCCATCTTCTTCTTCTCTACCACCTTCCATAAACATATAAGCCAAATCAGAATGTTCTTTCCCTTCAAAGCTCGAAGACAAACCTTCCCCGACCCCATATCTATCCTCGTGGCTCAACTGAGAAGCTACAAACTTATCAAGAGCCCTCCAATCAGTCACTTTATTAGCATTCTCTTTATTATTCTTACTGTTATTGTTTATGTTTCTCCCTCCTGATCCGGCTAGATCATCTTCTTGATCATTATTTTCCGATGATGACACCAATGATATAGAGCTTATAGGCCTCTTTGTTGACGGTAGAGATGGGCTTTCAAGCTGTGGAAGTTGTACAAATTGATCACAATGCACAAAGTTCAAACTCTCTGCTGCTTCCAACTCTTGCTTGCACATGAAGCTTTGTGAAAACACAGAACTTGGAGGCTGATTTGTAATATAATCAACTGGATCCATGGCTGGGCTAACGCGGCTTGAATCATCATAGAAGAAGTTTGATTCCCATCCTTCTACATGTTTTGTTTGCCCGGTTGATCGTTTCTTGAATGCACGACAGACCACCCATCCTTCTTCCTGCAAGATATCGATCGCTAGACTTGATTAATCAAGTTAAGTAAAAGGAAAAACTATAACTAGTGATTTTTAATCAAAACTAAAAAAAGAAAGTGAAAGTGTGGTGAAAACATGATCTAGCTAGGTGTTGGGATGATGTTTGTGTTGAATTAAAGTGGAGACTTCTTTGACTTGAAAAGCTCAAAGTAAAAAGGGAAGTACGTCCATTTTCGGTTGGATTGAAATCATCTTTGTGATGAACTTTTTTGATTTATATATATGGATGGTCCTGAAAGTCAAAATTTTGCCTCACCAGACACAACACATATACACACTCAAGGATTTTACACCAAAAGAAAAGAGAAAAGACACACACAAACGCACACTCAAAGATTACAAGATAGTGGTGGAGAGCATGCATGAAAAAGATGTTTTATTCCATACACACACATAATATCGTTGATTGAATTAAACTTAAAAAACAGAAGCTAATTAAAGTTACTGGAAATCAGGATTTCATGAGTGAGGATCTCTACAAACTAACCATGATCTGACATGAGTTATTAGAAATACTTACTCGAATACTGGATACTACATACCGATATGAGTTTTTTTTAATAAAAAGAGAAACCAAGAACAATTTTTATGAAATATAAGAAATGGTGGAAGACTGAACATACGGATCGACATTCTGGTAACTTGATCCAAGATCAAGATTTAGCAGAAAGAGTAGAAACAAATGCAAAAGATGAGTAGAACTGTGTATATGGTAATCAAGAAACACTTTCTAAAAGGTTAAATGCAAAGATTTGACAGAAAGAGTAGAACCCATGATAAGAAATGGAAGAAGATGATGATCGAAAGAGAATTGTGTATATATACGGTGGTCAAAGAACATTTCTTTAATATATAGATGAAAGATGGTTGATTCAAATTGCTTGCCTGAGGAGGACCATTTTCTTCGGATTCAAGCCTGTATTCATGCATGATCCAATCGGTTTTCTGGCCATTTGGTGCCCTTCCTTTGTAGAACACAAGAGTTTTCCTCATTCCTATGAGCCTTAGTTTTTCATAGACTGCTTTATCTCTTCCTGTAGCCTTCCAGAAACCTGCCATTGTTGCTCTATTTGTCCTCGTTCCGGTGGGGTACTTTTTATCCTTGTGACTAAAGAAATACCATTCAGTTTGCTCTTCGTATCCAATCCGACATCTCTCTGAATGGAAAAACCGATCGATGTTAGTCATTGACCAGTACTTAATCATATCTCATCAGCTAAGTATATACTGAAAACAATCTCTTGCCATAACAGCATAACTTGGTATGTTGGATGATGGCTGGCTAAGATGCTGAGAAAATATAAAGATTTTAGAAATGAAACGAAAAAACTCAAACCCTAATTTAGTAACTAATAATGAAAAGTTAAGCAAATAAATGGTTCTACTATTGTCGTTGGATCTTGTAGCAACACATAAAAAGAAGCTTAATTAACAAGCAGTAAGAGTTACCTATCAGATCCCAAGGTTCAATCCTGTATAGATCGATATCTCTAATGACATCAAGATCGATCTTCTGAGATGCAACCTTCTTCCTGAGATAGTAACCAACAAGTTCTTCATCTGTTGGATGAAATCGGAATCCAGGAGGGACGCATGATGACTGATCCATGGTGTCCATGATAACCAACTGGTACTATATCGTACACTGCTTCAATTCTACATTAAATTCACCACCAACTTTGCTTTAGTTCTATATCATGATCTTTGAATATAATCATAAGCATAGAGCTGAGCAATTGAAAATTTGTTTGTGGGTTGAGATGCAAGCATGAGCACAAAAGAGAAGATAGAAAGACTATAAAGGAAAAGAGAAGATGAAAAAGAGAATTATGAACTATACAAATAAAAAAGTGACAAGTGGTTATCAGAGACAATTATCAACTCATTTGGTGGTGAGCTACACTCATAACTCAGACAGTACTTATTCTTCTCTAGAAAGACAAATGAGTAGAGTCCGCATAATGTTTACAGTTGTTGTGAAGGTAAGATAAGTTGGGAATGACAACTTATATAACAAGCATATATCACATCACTCATTGACCATTAATTTTCGGACCCCGAAAATTTAATTAGAGATCTAATAATACGATACCCCCAGGGCATGTCGCACAACGAATCCCATATATCACGACAATAGTTCTGTCTCGTAGAAGACTTGGATGACGACACCGAAAACTATGAATTGAGATCAAAGATTCCACATTCGAAAAATATTTGCATATATCATCATATCCCAAATTTACTCAACTCATTGTCAATTAGGTCAAGTGAAAAAGCTTTGCATGTACAAATATTATTTTAGATCTTTATATCGATCAAGACCGCTGCAGAACAAGTACGTATTTTAAATGATCAATGTGTCAAACGACAAATGAGCTATACTTACCAAACGAAAATAAATTAGAATACGATAATATAAAATATAATTTTGTTAAACGTATATTTTAATATTTGTGGTGTAGAAAGCGAAAGATATAATTTTCACATGTAATAATTTTTGTAGGTCGGGGTTAAAAGAAGAATAGATTGATACCAAATGATGAAAGGGAAAATAAATAATATAAAATTTGAATTATCTTTTTTGGCTTGTTGAAAACCATGAGAATGTATAGTAGGGGGGGGGGGGGGGGGGGGGGGGGGGGTTGGGGTTTGGACTTTGGACCTAAGCCTCTTGTGTCCTTGGTAATCATGGTGTCTTGTGTTGGGTGTATGGTGAAAATGATGCATCAAGAATGGAGGTTTCTCCATCAATGGTTATCCTCTACTTTTAGTGGCGATTTCGATCCCTCATGTATTATATAATATACTTTTCAACCCCCTTTCAACAAAAACCTTATTCCATCGATCCAACTCAATGAATAATTAAACAAATTAAGGAAAAGCAGCCTTTTCAAAGTTGCAATACTTATGTCTGATCGGACTTCATATCCCAATCTCTGGTTACACAAACTCTGTTAGGTTAAATTCCCATGTAACAAAAGCAACTTCTCGTAAGTATATTGCACGCGTTTAGGTCAAAAAGATTGAAGGGGGGGGGGGGGGGGGGGGGGGTGAAAAGGAAGAACATGATGGTTTTGATGGAATCAAGGAGGCCTGGCACAGATGATAAAAAGATAGGGTTTTCCTTCTTTTTTGTTTGCATTCTCTCTCTGTCTGTCTGTATGTATATGTATATGTATATATGTGTGTGTGTGAGAGAGAGAGATGTTGTTTTTATATGGAGCCTGCGCTTATTGTCTGTTTGTCTGAAGTTCCAATAGCATCATCTCTTCACATTTCCCACTTTCTTTTCTGATCTAGAAAGTTTGAACCCCAGTAATCAACGGCGGAGTACTGCCTCTCTCTCTCTCTCTCTCTCTTCATATATATGACTTGCAGAAAGACATATATATACATGCATATATAACATATATATATATATATATATATAGATGGTAAAATTAAGCTTTAGCTTAAATGGATGACACAAAATATATGTATATATATGTATACTGTAATACATGCATGCATGCATAAACATGGAAGAAAGGCTTACCAGAGCAAGATTCAGGAGTCTGATGAAGCTAGTTTGGGAGTGTGTATATATATATATATATGTATGTATGGAGATATAGTGGTTAGATATAGAATGACAGAAAGAGAATAAGAAAGAGGAAGAAGACAGACAATTTGTAACACATATAATAGAGAGACGTATAGAGAGAGAGAGAGAGAGAGATGTTTTGATTGGTTTAGTAGAAAGATGAGAAAGAGAAGGATGTAATGTTATAAATGTAAAAAAGAAGCAGAAGATTTGCAGTGAAGGATCTAATGGAAAATGCGTTATGGTCCCTTGATCCACCACCCCATTGTTCTCTATATTTCTTGCTCACGTCATTGCATATATATATATATATATATGACCCTACATGAAACCTATTATTTGATATTTGATCGACTAATTTTATAACATCGAGTATGCAATTAGGTTAAATTCATCAAAATATCATCACGAATTTTGTCTATGTTTTCTTATTTAATGTATAAAGTATAAACCTCTAAGTAATTCTTGCTATTTCATATTAATATTTTGTCTTCTAAGAGGGTGTTTGAGATTGCTTATAAAAACAATTTATTGACTTATTCTGGTGTGATACCGGTAATAAGCATTTTTTAGTGTTTGGATAAACAACTTATATCGGTGCCAAACCGGTAATAAGGAGTTTTTGAAAAAGTTAAACCCTTCTGACTTATAATAAGTTGATAAGTGCTTTAATTAGTCTACATGATATTAATAGATATTAATGTGATTTTTTCCCAAATAATCTATAATTACAACATAGTTTCACATCTACATTATCAATTCTTAGATCCAATGTTTACCGATTAAAATGGATATAATAAAAAGAACCATAGGTTTATTATACTAATTAATAGAAAAATAATTTATCATTACTTGCAAGAGTTTGTTCTTTATATTTGTATTTATTATACTATATAATTACAAACTTTTAAATCAATGTAATATAGATGAATATTTTTGTAGAAGCTTTTAGAGTTTGTTCTTTATATTTGTATTTATTAACTCATTGTTTCATGCTATCAATTTTTTTAAAAACTATCACATGACGTTTATTTTTTAAAAGATGTTGAATTCTAAAGTCTTATTTTATTTCTGATTGATTAAAGATGTTGCTAAAGTCTGAAATCTGAGTCAATAAAACTGTTTATTGATAAACGTCTGAATATGTATAATTGTCTATTTTATCTCTCAAAATATTATATTTTTTGTTGGTCTCAACCATCAGATTTGATAATAATACTTATAACATCCGATCAAACACTTAAGAAGAAAAGTTCTTGTTTACCTTATGAACCATATCCGATGTATTATATTGCATCGGATAATATCTATATGGTATCATCCTATCCTGTTGTTTAAGATTTCAGATTTTTAACCCATCAGATCTATCTATCTTCAGTTGGTTATCATTAGGATTTTCATCTGATCTTAATCCGATTGATTCTCCTATCGAATAAACGTTTCTTAACGTATCGAGAGAGAATTTGATTTGGTTATAACCAATTCTTAGTTAGTGTCCGATGTAGCACCTTCATAGAGATCTATAGCTGGTAAAATTTGAAATATAACTTATATTTCAGATATAGAAAAAGATATGATTATTACTTGTAAAAGTGCTGTATCTATCTGTATTAATCCAAGAGCAGAATGCCTTCAACAAAATCAAAGACTAGTTGAAGTGAGGTTAAATCGTCACCAAAGTAGATTGGTTTGTCATCTAGCCAAAAAGAAGATAAATACAAGATAAAGTCAATTAGTAGTCTAACAAATACTATTTTGAAAGCCAAATCTTGAACAACAAGTTTGGCTCACCAACTATCTTACTTCCTTATTGGTATGAGAACATGTATAACATGTCGGCCTAAGGAAGTACAAAAACACCATTGTATTGATACTTTATTTACTTACTGTTCCCTTGGCATACAAAAAGATGGAATAAGTTAGCAAAGTATCTACATCAAGTTCAAAGGTTGAAATGAAGAATATAAGGATGCATGGATCAACCAATCAAAGAAGACACACATTAAAGTTGGACAATAAGAATTTAATGCAATGAAGCCTATAAAAGGACACATTGACATTCAATGCAACTCACCCGTTTATGAAAGAACATTCTTGTGAGTGTTTCTGAAGTAAAATCGGCGCCATTCTCTGAAGAATTTTTTCAGTTCTTCGGATCTAAACGAGAACTTCCCCCCTTCTCTTTTAGTGTAGTATATTTGTCACAGTCAGATTGTTTATATCACATGTCTTACCTTTATTTCTTTCGCAACACATCGTAATTCTTTGTTTTTATATAAAATATAGAAGAAAGAACTAAAAAGTGAAATTTGTTGTGTTTGTATTCAATACTCATTCTATAGAAACTTCATGTATAAGTCATCACTTCCCAGGACCAATATTGTTAAATTTATAACTTGTTACACTTCCCCGCAAACTTTTTGTTATATATATATATATATATATATATATAATGTAACTCTTAAGAAACAAAATTATACAAATGAGGCCTCATGTGTTGATTAGAAAGGGACTTAGAAGAAGAATCAAAATAGAAGATGATGAGATCATTAGGAATGTCACTTCGGAGGGAACACCATACTCAAAAGACCGAAGCAGAATCAAAGTGGAAACATAATCGAAGTGGGAGACGATGGTATTGCGTGAGACAAAGGAAGCACCATAGAAGGGAACACTATACTTCTTGTAGTTTGCCCCTATTGCTGCATCATGACCGCTTTTCGCTATTTGTTAACCAAACCTTAACCTTGATAAACAGATGCACAAAACCAATTTAAGAAAAAAGCAAAGACAATTACCTTTGAACTAAAAAGCGAATCTCATGTACTCTAATTTCTCTGCTATAAAAGATGAAGCTTTCACAAACAAGATCGACATCAATTACAATCACACAATTTGCAGAAATTTTTGATCGCTTTGGAGAAGGTTAGGATCGATCTGGAGAATAATTGGACCGATGGATACCTCTTTTTTTAAGATAGTTTGGATCGATCTAGAGAAAGCTTGTGATTTGGAAAAAGCTGCGATCTAGAGAGGAAGGAAAGTGATAAGAGGTGCTTTAAGGGGTTAGCTTATGTCATATAACTTTTTTTCCTAGGGTCGGTGATCCCTTGGCAAATAAGAGCTTTTAAAAAAAACAAACACCACCTTAATCTTGGGGGTCACTACAACATAAGGTCATGTGGATTGGCACACACACACACAGAGAGAGGTGAGTTATTATGCAACATTTATATTTGTACAACCAATACAACTCAATCTCAACCGTCCATTTAATTTGATGAATATGTGATTTCATAAAAGTTTTGATTGTTTCCTAA